TTTAAATATATATATATATATATGTCTAAAGTTATTTTTATAAAATATATATTTGGATAAAGTAAAATAATGAATTTTGACTTTATGACGTTAGATAACAATTTTTAAAACATATAATAGCAATATTTTATATTTATTGCATGCAAAAATGGTTCATATTGAAGCAAATATGTATTACAGTATTATGTAATATACAATATCTTTTTGTAATGTGAAAAAGTAGTTTGTAAAGAGGCAGCTTGACGTTACACGCAAACTGACGGCCTGATAAGGCGGTTAAGGCATCAGGCTACCATTTGGGGGGACCCGGAATCAGATTCGGGAGATCAAAAACCCTCCAGGAATCTTTCGGGGATGATCGAATCTCGTCCCTCACCACCCATCCCAGACCACATTGTGAGCCTGACCGAAGCCTCACCACATTGTGAGCCTGGCCGAAGCCACGATGGACATGGGGAAAAAAGACCCTCTTAGTGCCCTCGCTTATTATAATTACAAACAGTTGTTTTTATTACATATTAAGAACATATGTGTGTTATTAATTATGCATTATTTTTTAGTATCGTTACTTTATAATTTATTAAAATAAAAAAAAATGACGTGTAATATCTGATATATAATTTGTAATGTTTCACGTCTAGCCTAAAGCCTCAAATATCCGGAAGAGAAATTAAGTAATTAATTATGTATTTATTCACTATTCGCCATACTAAATATAGAAAAACTATATTTATTATTATTTCTATTTAATTGATGTTATAATTTGCATTTAATAATTTAATTAGCTTGCACTGTTTTCATTATTACAAGGATATATTTAAAATAAAAATAGCATACAATAATTATATAGCTATTATAAAGGATAATTTTTATATCAGCTAGCGTTATAGATAATCTATGACTAAAAAAATTTACTACTTAAAGAACTTATTATGCATTTCTTGTGTTACACGTGTGCGTTACAATGCACATATATGCGACTATATAATAAAATTATGAATTTGTATAGTAACATATTTTGATTATAAGGATTTGTGATAATAATATTGTCATTGTGCCATCGCGCCTCGCCAACAGGCTGGCCACGTGGAGTTCTCCAGGTTTTCTTCGTTTGTAACATGAAAATAGATGCCAGTTTCCTATAGAAAGTCCTCCCGAGAGGCATCCTTCCTTGACAGATTCGCCTGTGTGTCGCGTTGCCGTAAACAAATAAACCAAACCAAACTCGTAATCAATCAGAAAACAACAGCGTTAATTGCAACAATTTACTTTATTATAAAAGATGTTTCTCAACTACAATTTATTCTATCAAGAAAGTCGCTGAACTTTGAAATTTTAATTAACACTTAAGTCCATAAATTGAGATATAGAGATTTTAGGAGAAAATTATTTGAGATAAACATGGAAAATATATTGAATGTAGACTGAAAATTCAGGGAAAAAAATTAAATTTTCAGATAAAGAAGTTTTCGAGATAAACAAGTTTGGTTTACAAGTTTAAATGCATGTTTGGTTTACAGGTTTAAATGATAGACAGGTTTAAATGCATTTCTATTAACATTTTAGAATAATTATTTTTAGTATGATTTTAAAAACATATTTAAATTTCTTTCTTTCAATACTTAACCGTAATTTTAACAAATCTTATAGTGTATACTGTATGGTGTATATTGTAAAATACACTAATAGTGTATGGTACAGTACATACGCAATTAGTACATACAGTAATAGTGTATGGTACAGGTATGATATGTACCTGTACCATACACTATTATATATAATATATAAAGTGTGTGGTGTATTTTAATTATTAATAAATTACAAATAAATTAGAAAGGAAACATTTATTGGAAGTAAGTTAACATCACAAATTTTGAGAAACGACTGCAAATACACAAAACAACTTAAATTACACATCTTGGATGAATTCTGAAAAAAATATATTTCAATTAGAAATTATACATTAATTAAATATTAAGAGATAAAATTGTAAAATTATAAATATAATTTACTTTTAACCGTAGATTCCATGTCCTAAACCACCTCCGTAGGCACCGAGTTGCTTTCCATAACCTCCGAGTCCATATCCGATTCCATGACCAAGACCACCGAGTTGCTTTCCATAACCTCCGAGTCCGTATCCGAGTCCATGACCGATTCCATGACCGATGCCACCATATCCGATACCCTTTCCAACACCGATTCCGTGACCTAATCCACCATATCCGAGTCCGTGACCTAATCCACCATATCCTCCGAGTCCGTGACCACCTAATCCACCGAGTCCGTGACCACCTAATCCACCAATTCCACCTAAGCCATGTCCAAGACCACCGATTCCAAGTCCTGCGGTTCCATAAACAGCGGCAACAGTGGCCAACAGGACTAAAGCAGCTAACTGAAATTAAAATATTAATTAATTATTAAATATTCATATACGAAAGAATTAAATTATTACTTTCACTTTTTCTTACCACTTTCATATTGTTAAATAATTTAAAAATGTATGTTTTGTTGGTATGAAATGTTACTGACTGATGTGAAGTTCGTTAAGAACCATTCGATTATATACCCTTTGGTATAAAGGGCGGAACCTTTAAACGGGGGGCAAAGCACATTAAAAATCGGAACAAGTGGTAGACATTATGAAAGTACAAGTAGTGACGTCACTCCCCCACTTCTTGAAAAGTTTTTCTCCTTTAATTATCATGATATTACATGACCCTGTTTTATGGTTCACTTCCTCTGCACCAATTGCACGATAGGAAACAAAAACTTAACCCGATCAATTCATATAGTTCCGGATTAAAAAATATTCTAAAAGCTCGAAAATCAAAATTAATATCTCATATTTAACTCAGAAATGATTAATCTGTCCTTAAATTCTAATTTACTTTCCTTCTAATAAGTGCAAAATAAAGAGAAATTAAAAATTAAATTTCTAATACACAATATTATTCATAATTTATTATAAATAAATATTTTAAATTACATAATATAATGATTTTTAATTCATAAAATTATACTTAATATTCGTTCATACAACGATAGTGTGTATATGATTAATTTCCGGAGTAATACAAACTTATTTCAAATTAATACGTTTTGTATTTAAAAAAAATATATATATTTCATTAATTAATATTCAATTAAAATTTTAAAAACATTTTTACAAGATTTTATTACTAGATAAAATTTCTTTCAAGTGTCTCCTTATCCAATTTCATTGTTCAAAGCGCATTAAAATGTCTTCCATTTTCCAAATTTCTGAAACAAAAGAATTAAAAAGATTCAAGATAAAACTTGAGTGATTATTTCCATTTTTCGGATACATTCTTCTATTGTTCAACCCTTTAAATTTCACATTATTTTCCTTTTTTTTTGCCCANTTTTTTTTTAAAAAGAAAATTTAACGAGAAGGGAAATTGGCGAACAACGAACTCGAATGATGTAATCTGTATTTTTAAAACATATAATAGCAATATTTTATATTTATTGCATGCAAAAATGGTTCATATTGAAGCAAATATGTATTACAGTATTATGTAATATACAATATCTTTTTTGTAATGTGAAAAAGTAGTTTGTAAAGAGGCAGCTTGACGTTACACGCAAACTGACGGCCTGATAAGGCGGTTAAGGCATCAGGCTACCATTTGGGGGGACCCGGAATCAGATTCGGGAGATCAAAAACCCTCCAGGAATCTTTCGGGGATGATCGAATCTCGTCCCTCACCACCCATCCCAGACCACATTGTGAGCCTGACCGAAGCCTCACCACATTGTGAGCCTGGCCGAATTCACGATGGACATGGGGAAAAAAAGACCCTCTTAGTGCCCTCGCTTATTATAATTACAAACAGTTGTTTTTATTACATATTAAGAACATATGTGTGTTATTAATTATGCATTATTTTTTAGTATCGTTACTTTATAATTTATTAAAATAAAAAAAAATGACGTGTAATATCTGATATATAATTTGTAATGTTTCACGTCTAGCCTAAAGCCTCAAATATCCGGAAGTGGCCTAATAATAATAAGGAAGTTTCCGTAATACGGCTGCGTGACAACATGAAAATCAAAGAAAAAAAAAAGAAGTGAAAAGAAAAAGTAAAATACCGCGAGAGACAATCTCTTTAAAGAAAGAACAATCTAGCAATTGAATCATATAGTAATTTTGATTTTAATTGAAGCTTGTGAGATATTTTCGTCCTTAACCTATATTTTAATAATTTACTTTGAGTTACATCAACATTACATAATTAAAAAAATTCATTTTTAAACAAGAAAGGAGGTGAAGAAAAAAATTTTTAATTTTTTGATCACTTATATTAAATGCCAAATTCAAATGAGATAAAAAAAATTATACAATGTTTAGTTTATTGTATGTCAGACCAAAAATAAAGTACCTTTATACTATAACACAATATGTATAGCCTTTATATCTGTACTCTATCTATTATAGTATATAATCTATAATTAACTTGCTAATTTTTAAATATATAAAGCACAAGTAATCATATTATATCTGAATGTCAAAGTTACAAAATTTAATAATAATGCAAGAGAACAACTTGTTATTTAGTCTTCCTTTCATCTATAAAACATATAACTTATATGAGCGTTATACAGTTTATATTATTATATAAATATAATCGTATTTTATTAACGTCAAACCTCTGAACAACGGCCACTGGCAGAACACAGAATTAGTCGTTGTTCGGAGGTTATTATTTTTTTTAATGTAATTTAAAAAGAAGCATTCCTAAAGAACGGCCACCGTTTAGGAATGACCAAGTATAAAGTCAACTATAAAATCAACTATTTAAATTTTTATATAAAAGAATATTCATCTGTTTTCATGTTTTCACCTTTCAAATTAATAGATTTATTTTTATTTTATACATTTATGGTTGAAGAATTTCGACCATTGCACACTTAATGCTATAGTAATTTTATACAACAAGTGTACAACGCGTAACAACTTGCACTAAACGGAACTATAACTTGCAACAAGAATAACGACGTCTTACGTCATATCCGGTAATAAAAACACAATATTATGTTCTTCTTTTGTGAAAGTTTAGAGAATGTATGTAAAAAATGATAACTTATGTTTCATCGCCGCTGTTGTAATATTTACATAATAAATCTCCCCTGTTTAAAGGGAACAGAGTAAAGAATATGTGTAATAATCCTCTGTGTGGTAAATAGAGTATAAAATAATTGCAATAAATTTATTTTGGATATTAGAATTAAGATATTTTATTAAAAAAAATAAAGAATTGAATGAAAATTGCTACGCTCGAATGCTTTCGGCAGTTGAAAATAACCGCTTATTATAATTAAAAACATATATCAAGAGTATTTTTGAACGTAAGTAAATAGTACAGAATATATTTTTAAAGATTAAAAATACAACCAATAATATTTTTTATAATATTTCGAATATTTTTGCCTGAAGGAAAATTCAATATGAACAAAGCATAATCTGTTTTCTATTTGTTTTGAACTTTATTATAAAAATAATTGAAGCAAATTCTATTTTCTTATCTTAAAACTTATGTTAATCAAATTGTTACATAAAAAATAAAGGAAAGCGTTCTTTTAAAATTATTAATGCAATTCATTGAAATTTAGATACTGAAGTCGAATACAAAATGAGTATTATGGAAACTGGAAAAATAAGATGATAAACTTATTATATCTTTAAAGAATATATTTATCATTAAGTATCAATGTTAAGGAAAAATAAAATTACAATGGTAAACAGTAAAGAGATTTCAAAAATTGTCAATATCATTAATTAAATTTAGAAAAATAAAAAAATACATAACCTTTAACTTAACATTAAAAAACACAATTCAAAACTTAATTATTAATTTTATTTATAGAGGCTCGCCAGTGGCCAAGTGAATGAAACCATTGGACAGTGACAGTTGATATCTGACTAACAGGCTGGGGCGTAAAGTTTTCCGGGTATTCTTCACGTGACTTTTTAAAATTATTATTATTATTATTATAATTCTCTCCGTCCTGTGGGCACTAAGAAGGGGCCTCTTTTTAGCAAGGCAGGTCTACAATAGGGTGAGGAACGAAACCTGACACATCCGGACGGGCCAACCTCGAATAATTCCTGGAGATTTTCGATCCTGGATGTCCCTTAATCGTCAATCACTTGGTCCTCGCTAAATTGGGGATAGTTTCCCATAAAAATTCCTCCCATAAAGCCCCTTTGATAACTCACATTGTTGCTTTGCCTATTCTACCAAATCAAACTGATTTATAGACAAAATTTTATGTTAATTATATAATAATTTAAGAATTTGATCAAAATTTTTCTGTAAAAAATGTATTATTAAATTTAAAATATTAATAACTAACATAAAAATGATTACATATTCAATTGTTATATCAGTTATTTTCTTAAATATTTCTTTTTAATAATAGAAATGATTTAAAACTGATAAGCAATTTAATTAATAATAATTTCAAAATATGCAATACAGCGTAATGCAATGCACTATATACATTATAATGTTGAGTATTACACAACTATTATATTTGTAAATATAAAATAGAAAGTCTGTCTGTCTGCCTGACTGTTCTCTATACACTTCTCAACAATTTGACCGATCTGCAACAAATATTTCAGAATCGAATCAAAAATAATTTAAGAAAATATAATTTAAAGGTAACATTCAAGCATTAAACTCGTTTATAGATCTGATTAAACACAGTCGATTTATGAAATACAGCGTTATATCGAAGTTTTGACTGTATTGTATATGAAATTAGGAGGGGGTTTTCTAAAAATGATAGAAAATAAAGTCTGAATGTTGAAAGAAAGAATGTAACTATTGAAATTAAAGTTATTTTTCTGAATGATTTTTTTTTTAAAAAGAAAATTTAACGAGAAGGGAAATTGGCGAACAACGAACTCGAATGATGTAATCTGTAAAGAGAAAGGTCAAATGTCTTTCGTGTAAGTTGTTTGTCAGCATCAACATTAAAACCATGACCTAGGCATGATTATATGCGATGGCGAAAGTTTCACAGACAAATTTAGGAAAATATAGGACAGAGCTCCAGTTTATTAATGTTCTCATCACTGGTGATCTCTGTAAGTCACTATCCTATCAATAAACTGGTGCATTGTACTGCTGCAGAGCGTGTAAAATTTTACTATTGTTTAATATTTTATTGTTTTATTTTACGTATAATCTTAAAATATAATGTTGAAACACAGGAAAAGAAAATGGAGATTTTATATGTTGTATTTAATTGTATGTGTTTCTCCTGTAAAACAATAAAGATGTTAAATTTCTGCTGTTTCTTCTATAAAAAAAATCTGTAATTTGAAGAAAAATTATTAAAAAATAAATTTTATTTTGAAATTTATAATTTCTTAATCGCATTTAAAGTGAATAAAAACATTATATTTTAAAATACATTTAAGAATAAAATATATAATATTTTT